CTCTTCCTCTGCTCCACTTTCCCCTTTCAGCCTGGAGATGTTTGCATAATTACTTCTTTTATCTGCGAGTGTGTGTGTGTGTGTGTGTGTGTGTGTGTGTGTGTGTGTGTGTGTGTGTGTGTGTGTGTGTGTGTGTGTGTGTGTGTGTGTGTGTATGTGTGTGTGTGTGAGTGTGTGTGTGTGTGCATGCGTGTGTGTGTGTGTGTGTGTGTGTGTGTGCCTCACAGTAGCTCTTGTAGACAATCAGTCCTTTCACACACTCACACACACTGAACTTCATGCTCCAGTGTACCAAACTAACACCAGTGGCTGAAGGGAGTTTTCTGGCCGTTCTCACGTTTACACTTTTAATAATTATCAGAGAAAAAGTAAAAATAATTTGGTCAAAATGCACTTTTACTATCTATTTAATTCCTATAAACTTACAAGATAAAAATACTAACAATACAGTAATTAATATAAAGTGTATGCACCTTATTAAACTCTTAGTACTTCTACCCGTTAGCTCTAGCATCATGTAAACAGTGAGTTTTATTAGAGCTCATTCTCAGCTGAGGTGATGGGATGTTTTGACTTCTGTTAGTGAAGTCATCTTTAGAAAAAGTCAGAATCTTTAGAAAAAGTCAGAATCTTTAGAAAAAGTCAGAATCTTTAGAAAAAGTCAGAATATTTAGAAAAAGTCAGAATTTTTAGAAAAAGTCAGAATTTTAGAAAAAGTCAGAATCTTTTGGAAAAAAATCAGATTTTTTTGGGAAAATCTCTGATTTCTGAAAAATATCAGAATTCTGAGATTTTTTAAAAGAAAACCCAAAAAAAAAAATATATATTTTGAGAAAAAATCCAACATTTTTAGATTTTCAGAAAATATGTCAGAATTTTTAGAAAAAGGTAAAATGCTGTAATTTTCTGAAAAAGTCTGAATTATGAGAAGAGAGAAAAAGAAAATTCTGATTTTGAGAATGAAGTCAGAATGCTGGAAGTACCAACACATGGTGGAGGTGGAAGCGCCCCGGATCAGGCAGAAGGTGAATAGTTAGACAGAGATGCTATGCCCGTTAGCACGTTAGCATTTGGCTCAAAGAATCTGAGTCTCAGTGCAGCTCTCAGGAAAAATATATCCAGCTGTCTTTTCAACAGCAGATATACAAATAGGAAACTGATCTATAGAGAGGTGCAGGAATGAGTCCTAAAACTCACGAATGATTCAGCATTTCATCACTTCCTGTCCCCTGGTCAAGAGGTCAATGATTTTCTGAAAGTGTTTTTTTGGTTAGCCAACTTTAGCTTAGCGGTGGTGACGTGAAGTCATGTGACCGTGCTGTAGTTCTTTTATAGCCCAACATTAGCCACCTTTAGCTTAGCAGTGGTGACGTGAAGTCATGTGACCGTGCTGTAGTTCCTTTATAGCCCAACATTAGCCACCTTTAGCTTAGCAGTGGTGATGTGAAGTCATGTGACCGTGCTGTAGTTCTTTTATAGCCCAACATTAGCCACCTTTAGCTTAGCAGTGGTGACGTGAAGTCATGTGACCGTGCTGTAGTTCCTTTATAGCCCAACATTAGCCACCTTTAGCTTAGCGGTGGTGACATGAAGTCATGTGACCGTGCTGTAGTTCCTTTATAGCCCAACATTAGCCTCCTTTAGCTTAGCGGTGGTGACATGAAGTCATGTGACCGTGCTGTAGTTCCTTTATAGCCCAACATTAGCCACCTTTAGCTTAGCGGTGGTGACATGAAGTCATGTGACCGTGCTGTAGTTCCTTTATAGCCCAACATTAGCTTTTTACCTCAGAAATCATAAAGTGGTGTTAATATGTGGAGATTTTCCTGCTGAACTAAATGTTTGTTTGTCACAGATTATTTTCTGCAATAATCCAAAATCCCATGGAGGAATCCCATTGGACCAGGGAGATGCTGCCTTCAGGGACCAACACAGAAACAGCACATTCTCTGTTCTACCTGTCAGTGTGAGCTGCAGTTCCTCACCTGAAGGGCATGGGGCAGTGTGTGTCCTCCTCTCGGGGGGGGTCCACCTCGTGGGGCGGCAGCAAGCTAACATCGTCGCCCTGCTCCGTGTTCTCTGACATCATCAGCATCGGCCTGGAACAAAAACATTCAGATATATTGAACATAACCTCCCGCTCACTGAAGGTAGACCTGATCCAGACCCTCTGACAGACATCAGATCTGGAGTTCAACTCAGTATTTAATTTAAAATCAAAACTGCTCCACCTGTTAAAAAGCTGCTCAAAGATTGTTGGCCAGAGACTCTATGACTCAGCCTATCATAACAACCTAGTGAGGCTGTCCAACAACATCACCTCTGACCCAAAGCATGTTCAGTGAATATGAACTGCTACCATCTCATCGGAGAAACAAGGTCCCACGATTCAATAAGGTCAGACTGAAGCACTCCTTTGTGCACCAGTCAGTCCTCTCAGTGAACACAGAGCTGATCCCAGATCAGATGCACGCTGAAGGCTCTCTGAGCAGCTCTCACTGATCCTGCTGGTATGTTCAATGTTTGTTGTTTGTGTTTCATGTATTTGTGTCTGGATATTTGTCTGTTGATGTTGGACATGGAGCTGCTGTGACGCAAGACACATTTCAGACCTGATCTGACAAATAAATTATTATCGTACCGTACCGTACCGTGCGGTATGGTATGGTATGGTATGGTATGGTACCGTACCGTACGGTACGGTACGGTACGGTACCGTATCGTATCGTACCGTACCGTATCGTACGGTATCGTATGGTATCGTACCGTACCGTACCGTACCGTATGGTATGGTATCGTATCGTATCGTACCGTACCGTACCGTACCGTACGGTATGGTATGGTATGGTATGGTATCATATCGTACCGTACCGTATGGTATGGTATGGTATGGTATCGTTATGGTATGGTATGGTATCATATCGTTATCGTATGGTATGGTATCGTATGGTATGGTATGGTATGGTATGGTATCGTACCGTATCGTACCGTACGGTACGGTATCGTATGGTATGGTATCGTACCGTACCGTATCGTACCGTACCGTATGGTATGGTATCGTATCGTACGGTACCGTATCGTATCGTACCGTACCGTATCGTACGGTATCGTATGGTATCGTACCGTACCGTACCGTACCGTATGGTATGGTATGGTATGGTATCGTATGGTATCGTATCGTATCGTACCGTATCGTACCGTACGGTATGGTATGGTATGGTATCGTACCGTACCGTATCGTACCGTACCGTATCGTATGGTATGGTATCGTATCGTATGGTATGGTATGGTACCGTACCGTACCGTACCGTATCGTATGGTATCGTATCGTATGGTATGGTATCGTACCGTACCGTACGGTACGGTATCGTATGGTATGGTATCGTACCGTATCGTACCGTATCGTATGGTATGGTATCGTATCGTATGGTATGGTACCGTATCGTACCGTACCGTACGGTATGGTATCGTATGGTATGGTATCGTATCGTACCGTACGGTATCGTACCGTACGGTATCGTATGGTATGGTATCGTATCGTACCGTACCGTACCGTATCGTACCGTATGGTATGGTATCGTATCGTATGGTATGGTATCGTACCGTACCGTACCGTATGGTATCGTATCGTACCGTATCGTACCGTACCGTATGGTATCGTATGGTATGGTATGGTATGGTATGGTATGGTATCGTATCGTACCGTACCGTATCGTACCGTACCGTATGGTATGGTATCGTATGGTATGGTATCGTATCGTACCGTACCGTACCGTATGGTATCGTATCGTACCGTATCGTACCGTACCGTATGGTATCGTATCGTATCGTATCGTACCGTACCGTATGGTATCGTAATGCGAGGATGGAGTGTGACTTTGTTGATGTGTTAGTTGATGTTGAGGACCTGATATACAGAGAGAGAGAGGAGATGATTCAGAAGCTGCAGATAACACTCTAAATATAGAAGTGTGACAACGTCCAGGAAACACAAGAGAGGAGAAGTTTCTGAATGAACTGATCTCAATATTTACCAGTTCATTTTCTGTTAGTCTTTAAACAATATATATTTAAACCTTTTTTTTGTTGAGAAAATAAAAATGTTGGAAATAAAACTGAACAAGATTTAAAATAAATAAGATCCTTATTTTTCAGAAGCGTTGACGACACACACACACACACACACACACACACACACACACACACACACACACACACACACACACACACACACACACACACACACACACACACACACACACACACACACACACACACACACACACACACACACACACACACACACACACACACACACACACACACACACACACACACACACACACACACACACACAGGATGAGAGCCGATGTAAGCAGTCGTTCGGGGACGAGGTGGAGATGGAACACGCTGCCATGTCGATCCTCCTCTTCGCGGTTGTCATGGTAACAGGCACATACCTCCTCCTCCTTCTCCTTGTTTCCATGGAAACGTCCGCCATCCTCTCGGGGACGTTATATTTATTTATAATATTTATACCTTCCTGTTCCCTTCCTGACGTCAGGACATCCCATAATATCCTCAGAGTAAACACACACTGCTGCACACACACACGGTTTAACACACACATGGTTTAACACACACACACACACGGTTTAACACACACATGGTTTAACACACACACACACACACGGTTTAACACACAAACGGTTTAACACACACAGACAATTTAACACAAACACACGATTTAACACACACACCGTTTAACACACACACGGTTTAACACACACACGGTTTAACACACACACACACACACACACGATTTAACACACATACGGTTTAACACACACACGGTTTAACACACACACACACACACACACACACACACACACACACACACACACACACACACACACACACACACACACACACACACACACACACACACACACACACACACACACACACACACACACACACACACACACACACACACACACACACACACACACACACACACACACACACACACACACACACCATGAATCTTTGCGTTGAATCTCTTTGATGTTTTGAGGACAGAACTTGTTCAGCGAGCATCGACACCCTTTCAAAATAAAAGCATGAAGGATTGGAGCTTTTAGGGGGGGGGGGGGGGTCAGGAGAGTTAAAGAGGACAAATAATCCCCTTGTTTCAGGCGCATATCACGACTGCACCCCTGTACACGGTTCAAACCCCATCATCAAGCAGACGATACAACGGTGATCGGCCTCATCCACAACAACAGTGAGACGGCAGGAGGCTCAGCGTCTGACGGGGGCTGTGCCGACAACAACCTGCCCTCAACACAACAACAACAACATAACTCATGGTGGGCTTCAGGAAGTCGAAAGGCAACACACACACACTCCCACACACACACTCCCACACACACACTCCCACACACACACTCCCACACACACACTCCCACACACACACTCCCACACACACACCAACACACACACTCCCACACACACTCCCACACACATCAATGGAATGGCGGTGGAACGTGTGTCTAGCTTAAAGTTCCTGGGGGTCCACATATCCGATGACCTCTCGTGGTCCAACACCGGTTTATTCCCGTGCAGCCCCCTGTCCCGTGCAGCCCCCTGTCCCGTGCAGCCCCCTGTCCCGTGCAGCCCCCTGTCCCGTGCAGGCCCCTGTCCCGTGCAGGCCCCTGTCCCGTGCAGCCCCCTGACCCGTGCAGCCCCCTGACCCGTGCAGCCCCCTGTCCCGTGCAGCCCCCTGTCCCGTGCAGCCCCCTGTCCCATGCAGCCCCCTGTCCCATGCAGCCCCCTGTCCCCTGCAGCCCCCTGTCCCCTGCAGCCCCCTGTCCCATGCAGCCCCCTGTCCCCTGCAGCCCCCTGTCCCCTGCAGCCCCCTGTCCCATGCAGCCCCCTGTCCCCTGCAGCCCCCTGTCCCATGCAGCCCCCTGTCCCATGCAGCCCCCTGTCCCATGCAGCCCCCTGTCCCATGCAGCCCCAACAACAGCCTCTGATTGGTCAACAGACTTCATGCAATGCTTCATGGGATGCCTCATCAGATCTATAAACTCTAACCCTAAGACCCAGCAAAACAAGTATCTTCTTATGTGGCCTATTGTAAAAAAGGGGCGAATTGGGAAGACCCCCCAAACACCCCCAGCTCGGTAACGAGCCGGCGCCTCTTCTTCCTGAGGAGACTAAAGAAAGATCACCTCTCTCCTCAGGTTCAGGACCAGCAGCTTCAGGACCAGCAGGTTCAGGACCAGCAGGTTCAGGACCAGCAGCTTCAGGACCAGCAGGTTCTTCTCCCCCTGTGACCCTGCTGAACTCTGACCCCCCGATAACCCCATGCCCTCACCAACTACCACCTGTTTATATCCTTATACTGTACATACCGTTGATACTGTCCTGTACGTTCCCTCGTGCTCTCGGGGTACAGAGGGAAGTAGCCGGGAGAGAGAGAGAGAGAGAGAGAGAGAGAGAGAGAGAGAGAGAGAGAGAGAGAGAGAGAGAGAGAGAGAGAGAGAGAGAGAGAGAGAGAGGGACTGAAGTCATCACAACACCAGGATGGAGCTCATGTCCTATGAACACACACCATCTGTTCACAGCCTGTTGGTCATTACTCATATCAGGTCGACACCTAGATGTTTTCCTCTAAACAAAGTATTCACTATTTGAACCGAATATCTCCCTCCTCTGCAGGAACATCATTTCATATTCTGTTCTTGTACATTTCATATATTGACATGTAAATAGACTTCTTGCACTATTTCTTATTTGTACTTTATGATATATGTTGCATCGTTAGAGGAGCTCAGAGGCCTGCACTACGAAGCCGGATGTTCTCTTAGCTGACTTCAGGGAAAACTCGGGCTTTCCGGTCCTACGATGCTGGTTCTCTTTTTAGCGGGCTAGATCTCCATGGTAACTGATGCTGAGCGGCTAACCTGCTCCGGAGGAGGTTAGGTTGCAGGCTAAGAGATCAACTCAGTGAAAGCACCGCCTGCTGACCAATCAGAGCTCACCGCCTGCTGACCAATCAGAGCTCCGTGTGCAGAGTTTAAAGCGATCAAGTCATATTACAGGATAGAGGAAATACAGAAAAACTGCCGTTGCAGGAAAGACGGCCGGCAAAAATCAGCTGACTGTGTGAACGTGAACATTAATAGAATATCCCCTCCCATCTTCAGAGCAATCTGACTATTATAACATTAGCGTTAAGAAAGCTTACTTAAATATCTGCCACAACATAAGTAACCGGATCAGAGTAACATTACGTACAGTCCGTGGCACTGTGAGTGCAGACATCGATGTGTCCCATTATCATTCATATCATATCACATCATAATGTATCATATATTTCCTTATCTGAGTCAGCTGAGCCGTATCTGGCCGTGCAACACTCACAGTGTCACATACTGGATGCAGAAGTATTATTTTAAGCAACACATTAAGTTGACGAAACACTCGAGTCAAATGTAATTAAAGTCAGATCGTGTCTTAGACGGGGCAGTGATTTCATAAACCTGTTAATGTACGCATTCAAACACTTTCTCTGTTACCAGCTGTATTCACCTTGCAGGTGCAGCTATGTGGCTTTTATCCTGGATAAAGTGTTTAAGTCATGGATGTTTAAAGTTTAACTTCTTCATATTTGACTAATATTAAAGTTCACTTTTCATTCAGGAAGTATGACGCTGCGCTGTCAGTACGCTCCTCCATGTTTGTGATTGGTCGAATGCTCCAGATACCACCCCTTTCATGTGAACGCGCACCTAACTATAGGACACGGCTGGCTTGAGCGATCCACTTGATAACCAGCGTCGTAGGACAGTTTAGCGAGAGCGCGTATGTTTTGGATTGGGCCAACCGGCTAACTCAAACATATCCAGGTTAGGTTGAACCAGCTTCGTAGTACAGGCCTCAGGTCTCTGTAGCTGCTGAGCATCTGATGATGAAACCTTTGAAACGTGGCCTTTGACCGAAGGGTTGCCGGTTCACATCCCGATCTGACCGTAACAGCAAGGCATCAGACCGCTGCTCGCACGCACGCGCGCACACGCGCACGCGCACACGCACACACACACACACACACACACACACACACACACACACACACACACACACACACACACACACACACACACACACACACACACACACACACACACACACACACACACACACACACACACACACACACACACACACACACACACACACACACACACACACACACACACACACAGATAACTCTGATATTATTTCTGATATTCGACACTTCCTGCTGCGGCATCCTCTTTAATAAAATCTATGCAAATGATAAGAAAATGAAACCACTCACAGAATAACCTCTAATACACACCTGCAACTTTTACTAAAGTACTGCATACTCAAGTACTGCATACTCAAGTACTGCATACTCAAGTACTGCATACTCAAGAACTGCATACTCAAGTACTGCATACTCAAGCACTGCATACTCAAGTACTGCATACTCAAGAACTGCATACTCAAGTACTGCATACTCAAGCACTGCATACTCAAGTACTGCATACTCAAGAACTGCATACTCAAGTACTGCATACTCAAGCACTGCATACTCAAGCACTGCATACTCAAGTACTGCATACTCAAGCACTGCATACTCAAGTACTGCATACTCAAGAACTGCATACTCAAGTACTGCATACTCAAGCACTGCATACTCAAGTACTGCATACTCAAGTACTGCATACTCAAGCACTGCATACTCAAGCACTGCATACTCAAGTACTGCATACTCAAGCACTGCATACTCAAGTACTGCATACTTGAGGCACTGCATACTAAAGTACTTCATATGAAGGTACTTGTACTTCACTGGAGTATTTACAATCCCTGCTACTTCATGTAAGAGGGAAGTGTTTGCCTGCTCAGCATTTACAGCTGTTGGTACTTTAGAGATTATTGATAAATAGTAGAAATATGTAAATATACAAAAGATTAAAAAAGTATAAATAAAGTAAAAAAGATAGAAAATATGAAAAAAGAAAGAAATGAAAAACAAAAATGCGTAATATATATAAAATAATAAAAACAAAAAGAATAAATAATAATAAAAAAAACACAAATATACAACAAATATAAATAATACAAAAAGAGATAAATATACAATAAAAAAAGAATAATAAAATAGAAATATAAGAAAAATACAATAAATAAAAACATTAAAAAAAATCTAAATATATATATAAATAAATTAAAATATACAGAACTAAAAAAACTAAAATATAATTGATAAATGATAATTATTACAAATAAAATACCCTGCTAAATATATAATCAGGTTCAAGATCCATGCTCACAGTTTGCTCATTAAAATAATATAATAAATATGTCTACCTTTACTTTTGGTATTTGTAAAAAACATGTGAAAAAAATATATATAAAAAAATGAAAATAAACACAAACAGATCAAAATATATACAAATAAAAAAAATACTCTTACTCCAAATAAAAAGGAAGAAAGTATGACATTTAAAATGCTTAAAACCAGAGTCGTGCGTTCAAACACACCATGATGCAAATGAATAACATAAATCTACCTAATTTAAAACCAATATAAAGCTCCTAAAGACTAGAGATTACTGTTATTTATTATTACATATTTGAATGCTCTCACACACACACACACACACACACACACACACACACACACACACACACACACACACACACACACACACACACACACACACACACACACACACACACACACACACACACACACACACACACACACACACACACACACACACACACACACACACACACACACACACACACACACACACACACACACACACACACACACACACACACACACACACACACGTCTTAAGGTCCTCTCACCTGTTCTCTCTCAGGTCCGCAGCTCTCTGTGTCTCGCGGCTGCGGGAGGCAGAAAAACAGACAAACTACCGGAAAAGACCGGACGAGACCTTCAAAATAAGAGCACGGTGCGTGGACAAATACAAAATAAAAGCATGATCTGTTTGGTATTTTGAGCAAAACACATCATGTATCTGAGACCCATAATATATGCCTATAAATAGTATAATAGGAGACCTTTAATGTATACAACATTTCATCCATTACCTCATCTGATAAACTATTATTTCTTGTCAATTATTTGATGTTATTTATTTTTATTATTTCATTCAATATTCTATCTGTCATTTATTTAGTATTTTATGCTATAATTAATTAATGTGTGTTGTCAATGTGTGCTTTATGTATCAAGGTATCATCATACTGCTCTGTGTGAAGTGTTCACAGAGCACCAGCGCCCCCCTGTGGTGCAACACCGACATTACACTAGCATGCAGAAGATGTTTCTTCATGTGGAACATTTGGGATTTTATATCCGTGTCAAGTTTTTGGGACGCTGGCACCTGCAGGCCACCGTACAGAACACACTTGGAATTGAACTATTTCGTTATTCCTTGAGACAATGGGCTAACACATAAATCAAATCAATACATCTTATGTATTAGGAGTCTCCCTCGAGAGCAGCTTTCATTTTACAAACTGAAAATCTTCCTTTCTATAATTTTAAAGGTCCCCTATGATACTGTTTCTCATCAATATATCACAGGTCTCAGATATATCCAGAGCCTGTCTCTGATTGGCTGAAACACCAAACAGATCATTGCAGCATTACCCATAATCCCCTCTGTTTCAGCCCTGTTTTCCAAAGTGCTGATTCTGGGGTTGCGGTCGAATACTCCAAAAAAACAGCTCGTAAATTCTAACGCTATCGTCTATCCCTTGACCTCTGAGTGAAAGGTCACGGGGTTAAGGGATAGTGGATAGGAGAATTCAAAAGGACTTAGGAGAAGAGACTGCGGTACTTTAGAGAATCGACTGCACGTTCACTATCCGACGTGTTTATGATGCGCCAGCAGAGGTCATAAATGTGCGCCTGCTGCTGTGGGGAAACTATGGAAACTACAGTTTTCTATACAGCGGACTACAACATGGATGTTTAATGAGAACGAGGGACTACTGTAAACTCATCTAGAGACTCTGCACCGTGCTCTGATGCTGTTATGCTTTATGAACGGGGACAACAGAGAAACATATTCTTCATGACCAAAGCTGGAATTGAAATAAAAAAGGAAAGTGAAACTTATGCTCGTCACCCTCTCCCTCCGGTCCACATTAATACAAATGATCCCAATACGTATGATTGTATGAAAAGATCTTAAAATCAATACAAATGTATTTATTATAAACGTTAGTCCTTAACATCTATCACTGTGTATATCACCATTCAAACATCTTTTAAAAGTTGAACAAACCCCACACAGCTCAGTAAAGACTGTGAAATGTTGACTTTATTTGATCATTTCAGTAAAAACTAACGTTCATATTTCTCTTTGTGATTATAATACTGATGAACGTTCAAAACAAAGCACTTTGGCAACTTACCACATACGTTTTAAAATGCTTAATAAGCACCGTAACTTTCATGATATCATTTCTCGTTCATAATCGGTTGTTTCCGTGAACGGCCGACTGTTGTGTGACGGCAAATGCCGCGGCTGCAAGGCATTGTGGGGCAGCATTTTCTCCTCTCCTTTCGGTTAGGGAGGTCCAGTGGTTCCTAAGCTAAAGGAGGTTATAAAGGAAGTTTGAAACCTCCTTTCCTTTCATCTAGAGAATTGGAACGGCACTTATCATGGCTGCCACTGAGGGACTTCCGGGTCATTTCACTCCGTTAGGAAGGTTCCTAAGATAAAGGGACTATTCGAATGCAGCCTCTGTCTGTTACTTTAGATGAAAATAAGGAGCCCCTCCCCACGCCTCTCTGAGAGAGATTTGGTTACAAAGAACTCAAAGATTCTGCGTAAGGCGCCGTGCTGGTGGCTGCCTGTTGCATGCAGCTCCCGGTGTTTTATTGATCTTTGTCTTTTTGTTTACTTTTATTCTCTTAGTTGTACTTTTTTCTTTGGATATTTATTTTGTTTTGCAGCGAACTATGGCCACGTTTTACTTCGAACGTTTTCTGGTCATTCTTCTGCTACTTTTTTTCACTTTTTGTGTCGGAGAGCCATGCTCAGAGGAGTGATGGCATTGTTTACACGCGTGAGCAGCTGATTGCGCTGTGCCGACCCGTGCTGCTGCCCGGAGCCAGGCATGACATCCCGGAGGAGCTTCGGAGGCTCAAGCGGGGCTGCAGAGCTGGGGCCAAGCTGAGGATGAAGAAGAAGATGAGGTACAAACCCTGTGTACCGGCCATCATAATGGGGAACGTGAGGTCTTTGGGGAATAAGATGGACGAGCTCCGCGTGCTGACGAAGACGCAGTGGGAATACCGTGAGTGTAGCATCATGTGTTTTAACGAGACTTGGTTGCACTCGCTCATCCCGGATAATAACACGGCTCTCCCCGGCTTCACGAGTGTTCGGGCGGACAGGGACGTTATTCTGAGCGGTAAAAAGAAAGGAGGAGGGATTGCACTGTATGTGAACAAACAATGGTGTAATCCTGGACATGTTACTGTGAAGGAGCGTTTCTGTAGCCCGGACATTGAACTGCTAGCTGTGGGATTACGTCCATTTTATCTACCTAGAGAACTTTATTCTGTCATCGTAGTTGCTGTCTATATTCCACCGAACGCGGACGCGGAGGTGGCTGGTGACGTCATTCACTCCTCTGTGGCCAAACTCCAAACTCTTCACCCAAATGCATTCATAACAATAACTGGGGATTTTAACCGTGCAAAACTGGACAAATCTCTGCCTACATTCACTCAGTATGTGAAATGCCCCACCAGGGGAAATAATACTCTGGATCTTCTATATGCTAATACCAAGAATGCATATTGTGCCACTGCCCTCCCCCCCTGGGCAGATCTGACCACAACCTCGTCTTTTTGGCTCCTAAGTATGTCCCTCTGGTGCAGAGGCAGCCTGTATCCACCAGGACTGTGAGGAAATGGACTCCAGGGGCTAATGAGGCTCTACAGGACTGCTTCGAGACCACTGACTGGGACGTGCTTTGTGTGCCACATGGAGAGGACATCAATAATATGACTGACTGCATCACAGAATACATCAACTTCTGTGAACAAACAATATTACCGGCTAAAACTGTCAACTGTTTCCCCAACAATAAACCCTGGATTACTAGTGACCTGAAAACTCTTTTAAATAAGAAAAAGGAAGCTTATAAGTCTGGGGACAAATCAATGCTGAAGAGTATCCAGCATCAGCTGAGAGACAATTTGAGGAGGGGCAGAGATTCGTACAGGAAGAAGCTGGAGACTAAGCTCCAGCAGAACAATAGCAGGGATGTCTGGGCTGGGATGAAGGCTATCACTGGCTTCAAAGGGAGAGACAGACTGACTGTGGGCACCCTGGAGAGGGCCAACGAGCTGAACACCTTCTTCAATAGGTTTAGCTCTCCGCCCGCTGCTGTCTCCTCCACTTCCTCTTCTCACCTCACCTCCTCCTCTCAGCCTGGCATCAACATCCCCCCTCTGCTCACCACCTACACTTCACACCTCTCCTCCACCACCCAGCCTGGCTTCTGCACCCCCCCTCTGCTCACATTGCCGCTGACCCCCCCCCCCCCCTCTGCTCATCTTGCCTCAGACCCCCCCCCCTCTATCCCCCCTGCCATCAAGCCCCCCCCCCCGCTTCACTGTGAGCACAGGACAGGTCCAGAGTCAGATGGAAAACTCCACCAAGGCAAGGCTGCTGGCCCTGATGGTATCAGCCCCAGGGTCCTGAGGACCTGTGCCCGCCAGCTGGCTCCTGTTCTCCAGTATATATTCAACCTGAGCCTGCACTTGGAGACCATCCCGGTGCTGTGGAAGACATCCTGCGTTGTTCCGGTCCCTAAAAAGACAACTCCTTCTGGGCTCAATGACTATCGCCCTGTAGCACTCACATCTCATGTGATGAAGGTGCTTGAGAGACTGGTCTTGGCCCATCTCAGACCGCAGGTGAGATCATTCCTTGACCCTCTGCAATTTGCCTACCAGCCTCACCTGGGGGTGGACGATGCCATTATTTACCTGCTGCAGCGTGCTCACTCATACCTGAATGGATCGGGTTGCACTGTGAGAATCACCTTTTTTGATTTCTCCAGTGCATTCAACACGATCCAGCCTCGGCTACTGAGTGACAAGCTGCAGGCTATGAGGGTAAACTCGTCCACCATCTCCTGGATTACCAACTACCTCACGGACAGACCACAGTACGTCCGGCTGGGCAGTGTGCTGTCTGATGTGGTGGTTGGTAGTATTGGAGCCCCACAGGGGACTGTGCTGTCTCCTTTCCTGTTCACCTTATACACCTCTGACTTTCTATACAACTCAGAGTCATGCCACCTGCAGAAGTTCTCGGATGACTCTGCAGTGGTAGGGTGTATAAGGGATGGACGGGAGGAGGAGTACAGAGCGCTGGTGGGTGATTTTGTTGAGTGGACTGGAAGAAATCATCTGCTTTTGAATGTGGCCAAGACCAGAGAGATGGTCATTGATTTCAGGAGGAAGAGGACATCTCCTCCTCTGCCCCTGTGCATTCTGGGAGAGGATGTGGCAGTTGTGGAGGTCTACAAGTACCTGGGAGTGCACTTAGACAATGGGCTGAACTGGAGGATCAACACTGACGCTGTGTACAAGAAGGGGATGAGCAGACTCTATTTTCTGAGGAAGCTGAGATCCTTCAACGTATGCAGCAAGATGCTGGAGATCTTCTATCAGTCTGTTGTGGCTAGTGCACTCTTCTTTGCTGCGGTCTGCTGGGGGGGCAGCATCAGAGCCGGTGACACCTGCAGGATCAATAAACTGATCAGGAAAGCTGGGTCAGTCATCGGCATCAAGCTGGACCCCTTTGAAGCTGTGGTGGAGAGGAGGACACTGAACAGGCTGTTGTCCATCATGGATAACCCCACCCATCCTCTCCACCTGCAGCTGGACAG